TCAAAGAAGTCACATTGAATCTGAAGGAAGTGATGGAGCAAGCCAAGTGGATATTGGAGGAAGAGTGGTCCAAGCCTGAGGAGTAGGTGCGAATGGCCTGAGGCAGAAAGATGTTTGGTGGAACACAGTGAGTACTATGGATAAGGGAGATTGGTAGAAGCAGAAATCATTGAATAATCAAGGGGCCAATCATGAAGTCCTTGTAAGGACTTTTCATTCAGCAGTTAGAAATCTACCCATAAAATGGGGATGATCATAACTTCTACTTATGTGTATGTCAATTGTATCTTAAAGCTGGGGAAAAATAACTCCTACTCCGACTTATAAGATTTTGGAATTAATCAATTAAATGCATGTAGAATTTCTTTGTAAAGCACTATCCAAGGATAGATTTTTTTTTCCATCCAAAAGTAATAATCATTTGTCAAACATTTATTAAGTTTGGAGTACCTGCTTGTGGACCAATATTTGTGCAAAGTGTAGAGAATGCAAAGATGATTAAGACATGGTAGTGTTCCCTGCCCAGTACAGGAGGCAGACATAAACGATTTGTCTGCAGTATGCTAGGGATTATAACAGAGATACTAATATAGTCTGAAGACTAGGAGAAGTCTCAAATTTTTATAGTCTATAAGGGTGTATATGAAAGGAAAGAGTGTGGGTTTTTTTCTTTTTTAGAGTAGCTTACATTTTTCTGTTAATCCAAGAAGAATGAAAAATTAGGCTTCTTATTTAGGAACAGTTACTGTCCAATGGTGTTTCTGCTGAGATGAATACCTGGCGTGTGGGACTCATCACATCTGTCTGAGTGTGATTAAGTTACAGTCGTGGGCAGGAGAGAAACATGGTAAGAAGTCTAGAATTTGAATTATGGTATAATCATAGCATTTTGGATGACTGATTCTTGGTCTTCAAAGTTGGTTCAATATGAAATCACACTACTTGCTTTTCTTGACAGTAAATGCTGTATTGTGGCTTTTTATAAGTCGTCACTATTAGCACTTTATTAGCTTCCTTTGTAGAGCACGTAGCCTGACTCAGAGCACAGAGGTAACTCTTTTTCACTCTGTTTTTGCGGGTTTTACTCTTAGAAAACCTAGCAACCCTGAAAACTTTCTAACTTCCTAGCGTTTAATGCTTGCTTCCTGTGTGCCAGGTCCTGTCTTCACTGCTTTAATTATATTACCTCACTGACCCTCACAAACCTGTAAGGTAGGGGCTGATTTCCCCTTTTCAGGCTTGAGGCACCTGAGACAAGGTCAGGTTTAATAATTGTCCAGATTCATATTTGGAAATGGCAGAACTGGCATCGGAACCCGGGCAGTGACTTACAGCCCACGTACCCCCTTTGCTCTTCTGCCTCCCGTGGTGGATTGGTAGTGTTTGCAGAATGCTTCTTTGCTTGGAAAGATTCAGTGTGACGGTCCTTAGCCTGATTGAAATAGGGCAATACCTTTGTAAGTTTTGAACTGAGTTTCCCTGCCATAGAATGCAGCTAAGAAAACTTAAACATCACCACATATTTTTTTTTTTTAGGTCCTAAAATATGTGTATTCTGTCTCAGGTCCACTCTTGGCTTTGCCATTGACCAACTGTGTGAGCTTAGACAGGTTTTTTAACTTGGCTTTTAGATGTTTCTACTATAAAAGGAATGGATAAGATTAGACAGTTCTCTGTTACCTACTTGTCCAGTGCATTGTCTGATTCTGTACTCTACCAAAATTAGAGGTTGGTACCAACTTTTTGTCCAGTCATCTAGAACCTATTGTTCCAAGTGGAAAAAGAAAGTAAGAAAGTTTGAAAAATATACATGTTCTCTTTTGCTGGTTCCTTGTTACTTTTAAACATGTAAAAAATTTATACCAGGCCACTTGGCTTTTATAGTCCTAAAGTGTATGTATATTGTGTCCTTAATTTCAAGAGCTGAGACTATTCCCAGAAGCTCTGTGCTGGTCACAACCAAAATGGGACACTCAAGGACTCGGCGCTAAAAATAACTCATAAGAATGCTTCCTCCATGCACTCACTGGAACAAGTAATTACTGTGGCAACAACAAACTAATTTGAAGTGTTAGCTATTAATTAAAACAATGCAGAGGTGTATAGTTGTCTTTTGCTGTAACCGGATTCTCCATTCAAACTTCATTAATCACTTTACAGTTAATGTGTTGAGGAAGGTCAAGGCAGTCGAGATGCAGTATCCACTGAAAGTAAGCGAATTCCTTTTCTCTGGGTAGAATGCCATTTGCAACGTTAAGGGACACACTTGACTCATACTTGGCATTGCCTTTGCCGTCCACTTCTCCGTGACGATGAAATGTTGAATTGGTACTGTCATTGCACTGTAAGCCAAACCACGCAGCATCTTTATTGCTGGAAATCAAACCCAAACTTCCACGGATGAATTAGCGTGTGTCATAATTAAATCATCAAGCCTCGCCTTTTAATTCACTTGGAAATAGGAGACCCTTCTACTGGAAAAGAGATCAGCTTTCTTAACAAGCTAATTAAGTTGCCAAACTGTCCAGAATACTATATATACTGGACTATTTACTAATCATTTTTCTATCACTCTTATAGGTCTAAAATGTCCAGGTGTTGCTTGTTGTCTAATGTAACAACACTGATCTTATTACAACTTTTGAATCTTTATGTATGCATTCAGCTATTTATCTTTACATTTTAGTCTTTGGTTAGTGATTCTAATATGCAGTATTTTGAAAAATTGAAATTGAAAGAGAGGAAAAAATAATATATCATTATTAAATCTTACATATTACATTACCTGGAATAAAGTTACTGAATTCCTTCAAATCACATTTCATATTGGCTTAGTCCAGCAGCTTCTCTGTCAGGCATTGAGAAAAAAATAGAGTGTAACTTCTAGTATTTTAATTTATTACATGACTTTATATAGATCATGAATCAAATCGTAACATGTAGTTTCACATTGTAAAAGTGTGATGGTAAATTAAGGGGTAATTTATTCTAAAACCAATATAGTATAGGGGTTCCACTTTAAAAAATGTATGTAACTTTATACAAAATGTAAAAAAATTTTTAAAAAGTTTTGTAATTTAATAGTATTTAAATACACTTGGGAGTTTGGGGTTTAGAGAAAGTCTTTAGACACTTTTATAAATTAAAGAACTCTTTGGTAAAGTGAACTATTGCCAGTTTTTATAATCTTGCCTTTATCCTTTAAATGAGATATTCCTGACTTTCTCTACAATTAATTGATAAAATAAAGACTAAGTTGACCTTCCATAATTGGTTTGACCTTTGTCCACTTAAGTAGGAAAAGCAGAGTGAATTTCTTATAACAATCATATATATGGATACATACATATATATTGATACGTTTTTTTCTTAGTCTTACCTGAATTTGTGACATTTTTTATATGTGAAAAGTTAGAAATACTTGTAGATTCTTAATAACTGAACCATTTCTGTTAAGACAGTCACTTTAAAAACATTTGTCAGTGATTGCATAACTCTGTAAATTTGCTAAAAAATCTTAAATTATATACTTTAAACAAGTGAACTCTGCCATATATAACTATATCTCAGTAAAGCTATTAAAAAATTATCAGAGTAGCCACGTGAATATTTCTGCCAAAGCAACAGAAAATGATTTTTTTCATTTTGATAATAGTGGAATATATGTTTTGTTTTTGTTTTATGAAATATGCTATTTTTATAACATGTATGGTGATGGATGTTAACTAGACTTATCATGGTGATCATTTTGCAGTGAATACAAATATTGAATCCTGTTGTACACCTGAAAGTAATATAATATTACATGTCAATTATATCTCAATAAAAAAATAATAAATGAACAGTTTTCACTACTAGGTCATTACCCAGTAAACATTGGGAACCTGGTAAATATATTTTGCAACTTGCACATACGGATGGGGAATTCCTGAGAAGCTAAATTCCATTCCCCATATCTTCCCTACCCTGTTTTACATCTTAACACCAGCTGGGTGAGAGGAAGACGAATCCGATCTTGGCTAATGTGCAGAATCCTCTATGGAGCAAGATTTTAGCTTTTCCAAACTAATTTGTTTCTTTACAGTTACATGGACTTACAGTAGCAGTGCTTGTTCATGTTATGTGGTTTGTTTTGAAAATTTTATGTGAAGCAGGTTGTTTCTGGATAGTGGTCAGAATGTGGAGTCCTTGTGGTACATATGTACACATTTCCTTTAAACACAGGAGATTTTGATGAGATGTGATGGTATTTTATTTCCGCATACCTTATTCTCTTACTCTTCCACAAATGAGTGTGTTCATATTCCTTGACTTAAATTGTCATTATTTCACTGTATCTGGTCATTTGAACTTTGTTCTAAATGTTCTAAAGCTTTTTTAATGTTGAGAGATGCCAGCCTTAGGAAAAGAGGAACCACATACTTGAACCTTGTAACTCAGTGCCTTCTTACATGAATTTATGTCTTAAACCATAGCTAGTTCCAGGTGTTTTGAGATTGTTTCGATGAAATGTAGTGATATAATTTGTCTGTAATATATAATTAAAATGAAAGGAAAACCTCCCGTCTTACGTGGCTCAGTACAGTGCTTAGCAGAGAGCTACAGAAGACACCCCCCCCCCAACACACACACAGTGACAGTATGTCATGAAGGATCTGGAGCTACAAGACTTGGATTTGATGTCTAGTTGCCTCTTACTGACTTTGTGCCATTGGGCAGACTGCTTAACTTCTCTGTGTGTCAGAGTTCTCGGCTCTAAAAAAAGTGGTAATAATCCGAGCATTCCCTGAGAGGGTTATTTTAAGGTACTATGTGATGAATCGTTGTGTAAACCATGAAGCTCAACAGAACTGCAAATTACTGCTGTTACTAGTGCTCTTTGAAAGTGTTGTATATCCCCTTGCTGGGATGTATTCAGATTTACATTTATATCCTTAACCATTTTATGGGTCGTTTAGTAATCGCAAGTGAATTTTTGTTGTTTTTTTTTCTTTCCATAGAGCATATCATGTCCCAAGTGGGAAAATATTAGCTGTAAAGGTAAGTGCTGGATTCATTTTATGAAACTCGTGAAATTTTTGATGCTTACCGCTTTGATCCCACCCCCACCCGTCTCAGCTTGAGTCACAGGTGTTGTCGGAGAGGAAGTGAAGTGGTTTGAGGTTTGGGTGGTGGGCGGGGGAAGCCTCGACCCTGTTCGTTGAGTATAGCCCCGTGGTACCTCCTGGGCGCTGGGTTGTCCCTCCTGTGCATACTGAGCTGCTTTCTCACTCCGAGGGCGCCTCCGCCAACCCGAGCACTGTTTCCCTTTTTATCTAGTCATTTGTTTGTACCTTTGATGACAGAACTTTTAGATTGTTGCCAGTGGTGTATTTAAAGACAGTCAACTTAAGGTTATTTACTCCAGGAGAGGGGAGCACTGCTATAAATCACCCCAGACAACTTACTGTTTGGCCTTGTCTGATACTAATATGGCTCCTCCAGCTTTGGCTTGACTAGTGTTAGCATGACCCAGCCTTTCACTTTTACCCTGTTGTCTCTATATTTGGGAGGGATTTCTCGTAGGCAGCATACAGTTAGTTACGTCTTGTATTTTAATCCACTCTGCTTTTTAATAGAGATATTTAGATCATTTACATTTCATGTGGTTATTGATATGGTTGGATTCAAGTGTATCAATTTGCTCTTTGTTTTCTACTTGTTCTGTCTATATGTCCTTTTTTTTTTAAGCAGTTGCATTAGAGTTTGTAGTATACATCTTAACTTTCCGTAGTCTACCTGCAAGTTACCTATTGGATGAGAACTTCACAATTATACTTTAATTTCCCTCATCCTGGCTGAGCTCCCCTGGGGTCCCCTCCCTGGATGGGGCCTGAAAGCTCTTGTGTGGTCAGTAAGCTGGGCAGTCACAGGACTCACCTCTGTTGCCATCTCTCAGGGATCACTGTCCTATTTTAGCTGATGTCTGATGTCTGGAAGCCTGTTGATTTTTCTGGGGTTTTTTGTTATCTATCTTTTAATGTGTCTCTCCTTTCTCATTACCACTCTAATCCAGATGCTCGTTTTTGCCTCTCGTCAATGGAACAGCTTTTAAACTGTTCTCGCAAAAATGGAGGCTACCATTTATCGATCATTTACACTGTGCTAGGTACTCTACACGCATTTTCCTCTTTTAATGACGCTCCCAACAAACTTCTGCAGTTGCTGCCAGATCCTCATTTTACAGATGGAGAAGCTGAGGCACAGGAAAGTTAAGTAGCTGAGTCCCACAACTAATAAGGAATGGAACCAGACTTTGAACCTAGGGAAGTCTTGCCCCGAGTCCGTGCTCTTAATGTCTGTACTATATTGCTGCTCACCACCCGCAGATTTCGCTTCCTAAAGCACAGTTCTGGTCACGTCTCTTCCCCTCTCAAAACTCTTCAGAACCTCTACATTATGTCCCAGATAAACTAAACATTCAGTGGGATGAAATTCAAGATTTTCCAGAGTATGTCATCAGCCTGCTGTCATAGCATTATCTTCTGTGTCTGAATCCAGTGCTTCTTTTAAGTTGACCTCATGGCCTTGTCTGAACCCAGGTACTTTCTCTCTTCAACACTTTTGTTCACGTTATTTCCCTCTAATTAGAATGCCATCACCTATGTCTCCATGTAGGAAAATCTTTAACCCCTTCAAGGATTGGCTCTAAAGCTTGCTCCTCCATTGAACTTACTGAATAAATCCTGTCACCTGTGGTATATTTGTCACTCACTCACCCTCTCCTTTGAACCTGTCTAGAAGTCTGTCTCTTAAGGACGTTACCACACACTGCCTTGTATTCTACTAGTAGTACACATGTACATTTCCCCCCATTACACTGGAATCTCTTTGTCAGTGGGGAACAGATCTCACGTACCTTCTTGCCGTACCCACTGATTCATGCAGAACTTTGCATAGAGGGCCTAGTGCAGGACACTACATGGGATGACTAGGTGTGTAGCACATAGTTTGTTGACTGACTAACTGAATGAATAAATTTTGTTCTTTTGTTTGTCTTTAGTTCACTCATTCATCTTTTGAAGTAACATCCTGAGAGCAGGTTCAGCTCACGTACAGAATATCCCATAGTGTTCTTTGTATGGACCATTGCTCTCACCAGAGTATTTCTTAGCCTTCTTTTTTTTTTATATTACAGGGTGAAATGAAAGGTTAAGAGTTAGAAGCGCATTTGATCTTTTCTTGACCCCCTCCTGACTTTTGTGTGACTTCAAGCATGTCACTTGAACCTCCCAGTGACCTCAGCTGTGAAACAGGGCCTTCTGGTGTCACAGAGGGACTGTGAAGAGCAGCAAATCACAGTCCTTGTCTAAACAGAATCACCTGCAGGGCTCTGATGCCTGCACAGAATGATGAGGGAGATTTAATTTCCCAAGTCAAGTGGTCATTTGGACCCATACTTTGAATGTCTGTGGGAGCAATTAGATGGGAGTCCTTGAAAATCTGTTACTTTTCCTCCTCAGAATATTTCTAATTTTTGTACTTGTAAATGTCCTTATTTTTGAGACTTTTTTTGTCTAAAGCATATTGCAGTGTCTAAGCATATCATAGTGTTTACCTCTTCAGAATTCAAAGGTGGGAAAATACCACCTCAGATATTATCAACAGCACCTTGAATTTTGGAAAGAATAGAAGTACCCTGGATTTGTATTTTATACCACTGAATTCAGAAAAGAAATTTTGCCTCAAAGAGAGTACTTTGAAAATGACACTTAATGTAGTTTTCAAGATAGCTATCTGATGGCTGTGTAAGATTCATGAAACATGTTTCTAACTGGCTTTTTGTGGGGTAGGGTGGGAGGAGTGTAGGAAAGCAAGATGATTACAAACAAGCAGAACAGAAAACAAATAAAAATACTTTTAGCCATCTTGTAAACAGAACCTTTTTATACCGTTAATGTATTCTATAAAATCTTTCAAAGAGTAGAGCTTAGTAGGTTTCCCCTGTATTGTGTATTTTCCAATTGGGAGACACCCGTCGCACAGGAAATTTAGCACTGTATATAGCACGTGCTGATTATCATTCTTGGACTGCTTTGGATTTCTGCTGCTTTTAAACTGGCATTTAAATGGACCATTTGATTAATCATTTGTATACTGACTGTAATCCTCCCAAATTTCCTTTCTGAGTTGTACGTACTGTAAAAGACAATTATGTCGCCACAGATTAAATAAGCGAATTAAAACAGAATAGCAGCTTAATTTGACCTGTGATTTTGCTCTCCTTCCCTTTAGTGGGGCTTGTGCCACTCCAGCAAATAAATGAAGTCATCCATGACAGCTTGTGATGAATTGCCGTATTTATACTGTATATTTTAATAGCCTCACACTAATTTAAATTGAGCACAGAGTAAATTATAATTCAGTCACTCGGCTGCTTATATTTAACTTGACAACTCATCCTTATTTGTCCTGGAGGTGCGGTGGAGAGCAGCGGGAATGTACTCAGGTACTTCGGTTTCGAACTTAACCCTTTCTCCAGCAAATACTGTATGTGCAAATTCTCTCCAGTTTGAAAAATTTAGCTCTTCCTAAGGAGGAAAAAAAAATAATAATAGAGACTCAGGGAGTTCGTACTTTGCTTATTCTTCAAAAAGAAAATTAGCATCTGCCATGCTTTTTTCCAGTTTTTCCATTTTAAGGTAGATTTGACTTTCCTGCTCAACTTCCCAGAAATTATTTTATTCACTTTCCCACCATTATGGAATCTCCACTGTTCCGGACTACAGCGAATTCCAAGAATGATCAAGACCTGTTAGAGTGCAGTGGATTGGCCCCACAAATACCGTATTACTTGCTACATTTTCGGCCAGTGTGGCGGTTTTATTTATGTCTTTGGTTTGAAATTCAGTTGTAGAAATCAAGCAATTCATTTCCTTTCTGTCTAGAAGCAGCTTTTTGTTTGGAGGATTGCGGTTGTAAGGAGCGCTTTAATTAAGTCCTGTGCCGTTTAATGGGCACCCCTGTGAGTAAGACCCTGTGCAGGTGCTGGGTGTCAGGGGAGGGGACCAGAGAAAGGTGCCCAAGACTCAGTCCTTGCCCTGCAGGGGCTCACAACTGCTCTGTACTCCTGGCTTCTGTTTTTAGGAGATGAAGCATTAATGCTAAAAGCAGGATGTGATACAGAGAAAGGCAAGGGGTTTAATGGAAGGCTTTGGGGCTGGCTTCGTGGAGGTGACAGTGACATTCAAGCTGTGTCGAAGAACAGAAATGGTTTTATGATCAGCAACTGTGGAATGGAACGAGGAAGCACACGTCAAGTGGAGGGAACAGCAGGAGCAGAGGCTGGACGTGGGCAGAAGTGCCGGCTGCGTGTGGACCAGAAGAAATGACTGGTTTCACATGCAGCTTGGGTTTGCGGTAAGGAGAGAGAAGGAGCTAGAATAACAAGTTGGAGCTAGATTGTGAAAGAATTCCTTGGATGTCACGCTAGAGTTTTAACTTTATTCTAAGTCATGGGAACCCAATTAAGTTTCTCTATCAAGAGAATACGTTCATAGCCCGTAGTTTCGGGCTAACTCCCAGGTGCTGGCTAGCCATGTAGAATCATGTTGTTTCTTGACTAGGGGCCTGGGATGCAGTACCTCTTAGTAGTCATACTAAACACAAAATAAATGGCATTTTGAAACCTTAAATAAGGGCTTCTCAAACCTCACTGTGGATTAAAAATCATCTGGGAAATGTTTAAAGAATGCAAAGACGTGGGCCCAACCCCAGAAATTTTGATTCCAATATTCTGAGGTAAGGCCTGTGCATCAGGGTTTTTTTTGAAGTGTCCTTATATATTCATATAAATAACCTTGATACAAAGGTAATTATAATGTGAAGCCTAGGCTGAGAACCACAGCTTTAAGGTAAGTAATAATGTATTCCTTTTAGGAGAGTTCTTAAGAGTGAAAGATTCCCTGTACTTGACATAGTAGTATGAATAGCTCTCATATTTTATGGTGTAAAATGAAACAATTCTAGGTGGATTAATTTCGTTGTTAAGTTTTATACAGGAACAAAAATGTAAGTGAATGTTGTCAGCAAATGACTGTTGATTGGGAGAGATGTTTAAATGTTTCTTGGCAGTTCTGCATTACACTTACAACCTAGTTTAGTGAGAGCTTCTATAAATGACCCTGAAGCAAACTCTTGATAGAAGTGACTATGCCTTTTGTCCCCTCACTTTATCCTCCCCAAATAGATGTTAGTACTGTAAAACGTGGATTTTAGAAAATGATCCTTTTCTTTCTTTGCTCTATCAGCAGTTTGCAATTCAAAATTTCTGTTTTTTCCTCAAGTATATATATATATTTGCAGTTATAACACAAAATGTAGTTCCGTGTTGGATGGTGTATAACTACACTGTCATGGTAATCTTGACTTAAATTTTTGCCTATAAGTGCCTAGAATCAGAAACTCTGCCACAAATCTTAGAAATTATCTTTTACTTATTTTACTAATCACTGCCTTTCAAAGTAAAAAACAGAGGGACAGGGTATAGCTCACTGGTAGAGTGTGTGCTGATCACGCATGAGGTCTTGGATTCAATCCCTAGTACCGCTATTAAAAATACATAAATAAACAAACTTAATTACCCGCCTCCCCCCAAAATAAAGTTAAAAACAGTTTCCCCTGAATTGGCTTCACTCAAGTGCTAAGTAAAATTTGAATGGTTGATGGTCTTTCTTAAAAAAAAAAGTGTTTGAAATAAACGAATTTGTTCGAGGTAAGTGTACGTTTCTGTGCTGAGTTGGACTCAGTGGTTGATATTTTAGGGAAAACCACAAAGCCTCAGGACATACTGCAAAGTGCCTGGTCCTCCGAGTCAAGGCCTTGTGGCTCCTCAGAACCTTGGGTTCCTCCTCTAAAAGATGGGAATTAGATGAAGTAATTTCTGAGGTTCCTTCAAGCTCCAACATTTTATAACGGTTTCGGGAAAGAAATACTACGTAACTGGAAGAATGTAAAAACATGAGACGTTTGAAAAAGTCCTCATTTCTCTCATGCCTAAATATCTACTTTAGATGTCATTTTTACTCACCATCCTCTTCTGCTTTTGCCTGATGTATGAATTACAAGACAATTATGTTTGTAATGGTTTCAGGGTCATTCCTATCTTCCTCTTCTGAAAATAACCAATGTGACCAAAATAGGGTGTGTAAATTAAGGGTGTGATAACTTAACTGACTTTTAAAGCCATTAATACTGACCTTTGAGACCTGGCTTTTTCCTGGGTCCCATCAATCACTTCTATACCACCTCCCTCCCCCAGTCCAAAGTGTTAGACGGATGTGGACACAGTTTGTATTACTGGAGGTTATGGTGATGGGGAGGAGAAAGAGAGAATGAATAGGAAAAACACCATATTTTTTAGTTGTTACATTTCATAGTGAATATAGCTGTGTTGAATTTAGAGGTGAATAAATGCGTGAATGTTGATTCCCTTGTATGTTTAGGTCATACTACTAGATATTACACTGGAACTTCAGAAGCAAATTATGTCTGAATTGGAAATTCTTTATAAGGTAATTTTTTTCTTGGTTATTTTCCCTTGTAAAACATGCCTATGATATTGGCTTGCAGGTTTTTAACCACTTTTGTCTGATTTTTGTTACAGTGTGATTCATCATATATCATAGGGTTTTATGGTGCATTTTTCGTTGAAAATAGGATTTCAATATGTACAGAATTCATGGATGGTGAGTTTTTCCTTTCATAATACTTTAAAAATAATTTGGGGGTAGAGTGCTTTAAAACCTGATTTTGATATAGATATCAAGTAGAATTAAAAATAGTTAAAATACAACTAGATAAAATTTTTTTTAATTTTTAATAATAGTTAAAATATACTAATAATGACTTCCTTTTTGCTCTAAAACATCCTGGTGTTAGGGGTTCCTGGTGTTAAATATTTATAGCCGAGCTATAATTTCAAGAATGTAACTTCATTTACTTTTATTGAAAATTTAAATAGAACAGATTAAATGCTAGTCTAATCGGTGGTTTGATATTTGATTCTTCCATACAATCTGTCTTTTCTTACAAAACAGATGTTCTGTTCTTCTAATGTTTCAATAGCCAAAACAGATTTTCTTCTAAAGAAATCTATTAACCCAATGTCCTGTGTCTTTTAGAAAGAAATCGGTTCTTAATTGCAAGATAAGAAATTGTTTTTCAACACAGCTGTTTAGCCAAGATGTGTTTAGTTTTTGTTTTTTTTTTTTTTTGGACTCCTTTCCTCCCTTCTTTATTTTTCATTCAATCCTCTTTTGGTAACTCTTTTTCAATTTGAATATTATGGCAAAATGCAGATTTCTTGATATCCCGTTAATGAAATGATGTCATCATTGTTACTGTTTACCCATTTTAAATCAAAACAGTCTTTCAATTTCATATTTTCAAATTTTTTAATGTCTAGCTCATTAAAACAACATTTTAAAAGTATGAACTTTTCAAAGTAAGACTTAGTTCATTTGGGGGATTCTCAGTATATTACTAATACAATTAGTTTATGCCTTGCAATACTTTTTGACGAGCCAGCCCTGATGTCTTCATACTGTAATAACGTGTGCTAAGTTAGTTGCAGTGTATATCAAGAATTCAAAGTCTTACAGCCATATGGATATTCAGGGGACTTACTAGAAAAAGTGGGTTCAGAGAGCCAGTACATGTCATTATTTTATGACTTTTCATCATTCTTTCTTGAAGTCTTCAATTTTTGTTACGTTAAAAATTATTTATTTAGATGATATATTCAAATACCATAAAATTCAGTCTTTTCATGTGTATAATTCAGTGGTTTTTAGTATATTCAGAAGGTTCTGTAACCATCACCACTAATTCCGAAACATTTTTATTGCTCGAGAAACAAACTCCCTACCCATTAGCAGTCACTCCCTACACCTTCTTCCCTCTAGTCCCTGGCCACCACTAATCTATGTTCTTTCTCTATGGATTTCCCTAATTTGGACATTTCATATAAGTGAAGTCATACAATATATGGCCTTTGTGTCTGGCTTCTTTCACTTAGCATAACATTCTCAAGGTTTATGCATGTTGTAGCATTTATCAGTACTTCATTCCTTTTTATGACTGCATAATAGTCCATTGTGTGGATGAACCACATTTTATTTACTCATTCATCACTGATGGCTATTTATGTTTCCACTTGGGGGCTATTATGACTGATGCTACTGTGTACATTTGTGTACAAGTTTTTGTGAGAACATGTGTTTTTAATTCTCTTGAGTATGTAAGTAGGAGTGGAATTGCTGGATCATACAATAACTCTATTTGACACTGCTAAACTGTTCCATTCCATTGTACATCACAATTTTTTTTTTGGTTGAGGGAGGTAATTAGGTTTATTTATTGGTTTATTCTTAGAGGAGGTACTGGGGATTGAACCCAGGACCTCGTGCATACTAAGCACGCACTCTACCACTTGAGCTACACCCTCCCCACCCCATTGTACATCAGTTTGCATTCACAGTGATTTTTGTATATTGATCTTGTATTCTGCTACCTTGCTAAATTTGTTTCTTAAACTCTAACAGGTTTTTGTAGATCCCTTAGGGTTTTTTATATAGAAGATCATGTCATCTGCAAATATAAGTAGTTTTACTTCTTCCTTTCCAATCGGGGTCCTTTTCTTTCTCTAATGCTTAATTACCATGACTCAAACTTTCAGTACAATGTCGAGTAGAGGTAGTGAGGGCAGACATCCTTCTTCTGCTCCTAATCTTAGAGAAAAAGCTTTCGGTCTTTCACCAGTAAGTGTGATGTTAGCTGTGGGTTTTTAGTGGATGCCATTTGTCAAGTTGTAGAAATTCCTTCTCTTCCAACTTTGTTGGGTATTTTTATCATAAAAGGGCATTAGATTTTGTAACATGTTTTTTCTGTGTCTGTTGAAATGATCATGTGTTTTTGTCCTTTATTCCATAATTATGGTATATTACGTTAATAGATTTTTGCATATTGAACCAATTGTGACATTCCTGGGATAATTCCACTTAGTCGTGATGTATAATTCTTTCCATATGTTGCTGGTGTCACTTTGCTAGTATTTTGTTGAGGATTTTTGCATCTGTATTCTTAAGGGATACTGGTTTGTAGTTTTCTTTCCTTATGATATCATTATGTAATTTTGATATTAAAATAATTCTGTCCTCAAAGAATGAGTTGGACAGTGTTCTCTTCCATTTTCTTGGAAGAGTTTGTGAAAGATTGATGTTAATTTTTCTTTAAACATTTGGTGTAATTCACCAGTGAAGCCATCTGTTCCTGGGGTTTTCCTTCTGAGTTGTTTTTCTGGTCAAGTGGCATCTGTTGTCTGTTATTAAGAGAAGTCCAGGCACTTCTGCCCACTGCATCTTGGTACTGGAGTCACCTAGAAAAACACTATGCAGTCAGGCACTGGATTGAACAATGCTTTACTCACATAAAAAAAGAGACCGAGCAAGCAAGATCAGCTTCAGTAGTGGGTGTCAGTTCCCCATGGCTAGCAGCAGTCCCTCCTGGCAGTCTGTGTAGGGCAGTTGGTCTGCACGTACCCATCTCGTGTTGCAGCAGAGATAGCCCCCATTCCACCCTCCTCCCCTGGAGTCAGAAGTGCTGAAAGCTGGAGGCATGCCTGAGGTCTGTTGATGCACATGCTCAAGCAGGACAAAGGAGTACATATTGAGCCTGAAACAGGGAAAGATATTCCAGAATAAGAAGGTAAACCGAACACAGGCAATGTGGGCTCCGTATCTCTTGGTAAGCAAGTATTCCAAGTCCAAGGCGCATTCTTACGTGGCCAAGTGGAGTTTGCAAGACT